ATATATATATATGAGCCCGAGACCTTTAGGGTCTATTTTACTAACAAGCTATGTATACAAGCTACAATCACTGGGTAAATAGTTTCCATCTATGACTAGAAATGCATGGCTGGCGACCGTTCGTATTGAAATGTGCGTCCAAATATACCAATCGCTGAAGCTGACATGGCATGTCACCTCCAGCAGACCTCGAATCAGCCTGCAACCCGCAGAGCCTGTTGTGGAGGGGCATGCACAAGTCGGCGAGAATACACATCACCCAATGTGGTTGTAGAAAGAGCCCCAGCAGTTCTCACCCGCCTCGGTATCGAGGGCTGTGGTCTTGCAAGGAAATTTTCGCAGCTGCTTGGAACCAGGGCTCTTCTTGTTCCAGAAGCCGTGCTCGTAGACAATCGCAAGATGTACGGGATCCAGCATCATGGATCTGATATTCGGACAGACCATCAACATCTCGCTGAAAAACTTTCCAGACGGGCTGTCTGTCGCCACGTATTGAACAGACTCCAACTGTTTACTGGTGAAGTTCTCCTGCAGAGCAGCAGCAACATGCTCCGAACTTCCTGATTGGAGTGGGTGCAATAGCAGCACCGCACCTGAACGTCCTCTGACTGTCAATAAACGTCTCCACCCAACTTCATCTCCGAAAGGTGCTGCATTTCGAACATCGGCAGGAGCTCTGTGAGGTTCTTGCCGCTTAAGCTTCAAACACAGCTTGAGGGTAGCATCCATGCTGATGTAGGTCCACTCCTCGTCTTTCTCAAATACACTGGTCATTTTCATTTTCTCTATTCGCTGCTTGAACGAAGGTGACGTAGTGATGTCTTCAAGCATTGGTAGCCAGTGTCTGCCATGTGTTGGGAGGAGCTTCGAGATTCGGTTGCCGCTCTGACGGGCTGCCATATGACAGCGCGTCATGATAGTTCGTACCTGTCGGCTTGCCAGAAAATAGACAAGTGTGCACATCGAACACTCTGACCCTATAACTTGTTATCAATGCGACATAGCTAACCAGTGCGGCAAAGATACCTGTGCGTGGCTCAATATCATTTCACGCATCAGCAGGTCAGCGAAGGATTGGGTATAGTATAAATTGCGCACCCTCCGGACTGACAGTTTTTGTTCTATACACTCTCCGTTCATATAGCTGGGGCCGGCCGCGTCGAACACCAATCTCAAGTGCTTGTCTATATGATTGCACGTGCTCGCAAGAGGTGGCTTCACAGTTTCTCGAAGAAGGGCTGCACTTTCGCAGAGAAGACTGCATGAAGTTCGTTGAGAAGAGGCAGCGTGATCGTACACCGCCAATATGATCTTGCTCTGCTTTGTTCCCGAGCACACATACTGGTTCTTGGCACTGTGATGCTTTGCCACATGGGTTCGCAGCTGTCTCAGCTCGGAAAAAGATCGAAAAGGGCATAGCGGGCACTGGCTTCTACCGTTCACTCTTTGTGTTCTGGCTCTCAGATCCAGCAGAGCTTCCTCCACCTCCCGACGCAGGGTCTGTAGTATGTTGTCGGACACAACTGGCTTATTGTCCTCATCGAAGGAAAACCTTGCGGCAGAAACTTCATCCTTTTCGGCCTCATCATCGGAGCTGATGTCCGCACCTGCCTGCATATCCAGCAGATGTCCTGTCTCGTCGCCAAGTTCGTCCCTGCTGCGTCTCTGCCAGTAGGTGACGACAGTGCACCGGTCGACTGCCGCAGCGAAGGCTTCCCTGAAGGCAAGCATAGAAAGATTCATGCTGGTCCTGCCGTTCCGGCCTTCAGAATTAAATAAACTAAAAAAATCAAAATCACCAAAAACAAATTTGAATATTTTGTTTTTTGTTTACTTAATTCTGAAGGCCGGACCAGTTTCCAGCACAATTGAATTTATTTTGCTTGTTTTGTTTATTTTGTTTGTTTAATTAAGTCAGCAGAAAATATTTAAATAATCACCACTGGGTTTGCCGATTTTGTTCATTTAGGTTATTTATTTAATTGAACTAAATAAACAAAAAACGAATAAACAGAAAATAAATTTAGTTGCCTGGGCAACTGGACCGGCCTTCAGAATAAAATAAACTAAAAAAACAAAATAATCAAAATCACCAAGAACCAATATAATTACTTTATTTTTGTGTATTTGTTTATTCATTTCGAAGCGTTAAATCAGCAGAAAATAAATAAATAATCAAAACTGGGTTTGCCGATTTTGTTTATTTAGGTTATCTAGTTATTAGCTTAAACTGTCTGGGCGCTGCGTAAAATAGACCCCAAAGGCCTCTCTCTCTCATATATATATATATATATATATATATACATAGAAGGTGTATACAGGATGTAGAGTTTGGGATTCTGTATGGGCTGCTTTCGTGGCTTTGTGATGCCAATAGCACTCTAAGTATCAGCCCCCGGGGGCCATGGGGCGGTCCCTGTAACGCTTTTTACCTACAGTTTAGCAGCCGTTACCCCTTAATTAGTAGGTACCTATAGTCTCCATTGTAGTTCCTTTTCTTTGGTTTAACCAATTATATAGTAAGGATTTTATAAGGTATCCCCAAAAAGGAACTACAATAGAGACTATAGGTAGAACCCATAAAACTGTAGGTAACTAGAGTCCCAGGTCAGTCCTTTTGGAAAATAGCCGTGGGACGTTCTTGGCCCGTGAAGCCGACAGGGACTCGGAAATACGAGTTCCGAGCCCTGTATACAAGGTTTCGATTCCTAAAATTATATATGTATAGATAGATAGATAGATAGATAGATAGATAGATAGATAGAAGAGCGACATTCCAGGTGTCTCTGAAGCGATAGCCTAGAGGAGGATTTACTCAGCAAGCCCAACCACCGGTCTGCACATGCTTGGACGATTCTGCATTCTGCAACACTCCAACATCGCCAAAGCCTCGCTGAAACGACGTTGCCTCTGACAACTGCCAGCCTGCAACAATGCCACCGCCTGTGGCCAGGCAAACGCGAGCTCGCATGCGGTAATGGCAGCTGCTCCTCACACGGCTTAGGGCTTAGGGTTTAGGGTTTAGGGGTTTAGGGGTTTAGGGTTTAGGCCCTCCGGGCCTAGTTCGGTGACCTTTGCATGTTGCCCTGACGAGGTCACCCCAAAAGAACTCCAAACCCTTGCGCAAGCGTGTAGGACTCAGAAACTCAACACGGCTCTTGGCCCCATACCTTCCACAGCCCGACCGGATTTTGACACCCCAGACCCCGAATCCAAACCCTTGCAGTGAAATCTAGGACCCAGATCCTCAAGCTTCCAAGAATCACCTAAACTTATAGCACACTTGGAGGTTCATGGGACTTAAGAAGTACGGTTATAAGTACCCTAATTGGGGTTATATGTATAGGTACCTTATTTCTAACCCTAATTACGAAGTCCCATGAACCTTTAAGCAAGGTTGCAGCCGACCATGGAGGGTCCGACGTGTGCCGCGGCTCCCTCATCAAGCTGACTGTCAGCCATCCTCCACAGTCACCTACACCCTAAACCCTAAACCCTAAACCCTAAACCCTAAACCCTATACCCTAAACCCTGACCAGGTTTTGAGGTTCCGGGACGCTGCCTGGGGGAGACCTTGGGGCTCGAGACGTCGGGGAGTCTTTTAGGATCGAACTCCTTCCCTAAGGGTCCATGAACCCAAATAATCTATACTTTGGCCCCAAAGTACCTATATAGGGATTACTTGTAGGCTAAAGTATATACTATTTGGGTACATGGACCCTTAGGGTTTACGAAAAGGAACATCCGCCCTCCAATCCCCCACAGCCTGATACGCTGACTGAGCTGTCAACCTGTCTAAGCAGACGCTGACACTGTTCTGGCGAAACAGAAGCTAACTGATTCAAGGTGGAGCGAGTGCAGATAGTACTAAACCTTAAACCGTCTACCCTAAACCCTAAACCCTAAACCCTAAACCCTAAATCCTAAACCCTAAACCCTAAACCCTATACCCCAACCCGAAGATCGAAGACCTCAAATCCCAATCCTCACAACCCAAAGCCCCAAAGCGCACAAACCCCAAACCAAAACGAAAGCTCCCATTCCCGAGAACCACAAACCCCAGAACCCAACACCCTAAAACCAAGCCAGCAACAAAAAATCTCACTCCCCAAGCCTAGACCCTTCTTGATCCCAAGGGGCCGTCGGAGGGACGTCTCCCAGCGGAGGCCCCAGCCGAAGGACTGGATTCGGGCGTGAAGGCTCGTGGAATCCTCAGTTTCGTTTCTGAGAGCCTCTCAAGAATCGAAGGTTACTGAAAGGTTCATGGGACTTAGTAATAGGGTTATAAATAAGGTAACTATACTTCTAACCCCAATCAGGGTACTTATAACTGTACTTATTAAGTCCCATGAACCTCCAAGTAGGCTTTAGGGTGTGTAGGGTCGGCGGCCAGGGTTATGCACGAGTTATGAGCGTTTGGCAGACACAGAGAAGGGGCAAAGCAGCCGGCAGGCGCCAGAGCACAGACAGGACTTACTGACTTACTATGTGCGAAGGATCGATGTGGATCAGAGACGCACTTGAAGAATTCGGGTTTAGGGTTTAGGGTTTAGGGTTTAGGGTTCAGGGTATTCCTTCTCAGAACTCGACCTCCTTAGCCTTAAACCCAAAGCCCTGAAACTCTGTCGGCCCAGGGTCTGGCGGCAAACCCCAAGCTGTTCCCAGATCGAGAATGCTAGCAGCATTTTGCCACTGATGCTCCTGGCTCGGTTTGAACTTTTCTGTGATCTTTCCATCGACCTTTCTCGCATGCTCTGGTTGTTTGTGGTTTCTAGACTTCTTCCTGCCCGTGCGCATATCGCCAAGCATTCGCTGATACTTGGCCTGCCGTCCTGTGCAGCCCAGGTGATTCCAAAAACATCCCGGCCGTGAAAAGCCCTCAGGTCTAAATCCCACCAACGTGTAATGTAGGGGCCTTAATGATTAGAAGAGGGCTTTGGGGCCCCTTTATACTATAATTATGTTAGGGAGCCCCCGCAATAGTATTGGTAATTATTTGGGAGTTTCCGACAATTAGGTACCTTATTTTGGGGTCCTTATAATAAGGATCCTAATATTTAGGGTACTATATTAGGCTCCCCTATTTTCGGAAACCCCCATGTAGGCCCCAAGAGTAAGTGGCCAGCACCCGGGGCCTGTGCGCAGGCAGAGGCGGCTATGTTGCCGCCAACGGTATCCACCTGGGCTTCAGAGTGAGCGTGTCGCCGAACTCACGGGTTGATAATACATGAAACTTATTCTGAAACAAAGTAGTTCATGGGAAGGTAAGCGTGTTCTTTTTTCTTTTGCTGCTGCTGCTTTTTTGCAGTTGCTTTGGGGGAGGGGGGGTGTTGTTGGTGCGGTTTCTTTTTTCGTTTTTTTTTTCTGTTGCTGCCGGGGGGTGTTTTGTTTTCCTGTTGCTGCCGGAGGGGGGGGTGCTTTTTTGCTGTTGCTGCGGGGGGTGTTTTTGTTTTTTTCTGTTGCTGCGGAAGGGGGGGGTTGTTGCTTTCTGCTGTTGCTGCCGGGTTTTGTGTTTTTGTTTTGCTGTTTGGGCCCCCACCGGCAGTTCACTCACTTGCTGGTTTGCCGGGGCTTGCACAACAACAAAAAAGTAGCAAAAGCAACAACAAAAAACACCCGTTTCGTTCATGGGAACAGAAATAACAGAACTACTGATCTTAAGGATGGCAATGATCGCAAAAGCTGTGAAGCCTGTTTTGGTAAGCAAGTCACACAAGCAAAAATCGTCAGTAGTCTAGCGGTATAGCGATTGTAACGGCTGAGTGCTTTGCAATGCTACACCCTGCACCTTGAACTCCACGGCCCAAAATCCGAAACATTTCTGCACCTATAGTCTCCATTGTAATTCTTGTTTGCTTAACCAAACTTATATTTCATCATAGGATCCTAAACACAAAATTGATTAACCAAAAAACCAACTACAATGGAGGCTATAGGTAATTCGCAAAACAGCCGAGACCCTCAAACCTCCGGAACTTGCCTCGAGCTGATAGGATGCGCAGCGGCCGAAGAGGCGCAGTGCCTGCAGCCCAACTATACCCAGAGTGTACACGAGCTTAAAGATAGGAGGCTTTTGCATCATATAATGTCGTATCATAGAATATAGTAGAATACAACATACGAAGACATACTACGAGACAAGACAAGACAAGACTGGACAGGACAGGACAGGACAGGACAGGACAGGACAGGACAGGACAGGACAGGAACAGACAGTACAGTACAGTACAGTACAGTACAGTACAGTACAGTACAGTACAGTACAGCACAGTACACTACATTGCAAAACAATACTGAAAGCTCTCCCAGGAGGACGAGCCTCGTCCCAGCGCGCCCCGACAGCCACGGCATTTCGCAAGGCCGCCGAGGGATGCATTCCGCGCTGGCGCCTGGGCTTGGCAGGGCACAGGGCTCGGGGTACGGTTTAGGGCTCAGGGTATCGGATTGAAAAAGAGGCTTTCAGGCCATCCGCTTGCTCTGCCATAATTACTGTCAGTCTCGAATACCGAGCCAGAGGCCAGGGCAGATTTCTCTCGCTACGTAGGACAGGCCAGTCCCTTCGGCTGTCAATTTCTACTATTTACGCATTCATATTCCGAAATTATGATTGCATGAAACTTCAACATGCCTTTCTTCTTCAGCTTTCTCACCTGCCGGGCCACATCTCCAGAGCCAGGGTCTCTGCCACCTCCGGCTTCGCCTCTCCAAGATTGCATTTGCGTCCTAGGAAGCTGTTTTTACAGTCGGCAGAGACAACTTGACATGCACAAGCGAGAGAAGCCACGACCGAAAGATGCGATGGGAAGCACCGTTGCAGATTGTCCCAGACAACCCTTTTCAGAGCAGGGCGGCCCCTGAACAAGGCTTACTGAGTCCACCGTCCCTCGTCGAGCTCAACAGAGCATCTCGGGAAGATGTTTGCAGCCGAAGCTGCAGAAAATGAGATACAGAGGTGTGTGCGCGTTGGTTCGGGGATGTGTGTCTACACTGACTATCTATACGTGTTTGTCTATATACAATATCTGACTCACCGACGAACGGCAAAGGGCCGCCTCCGCACTACGCACCGCTGCCCCGAAGGCGGCCACGTCGGCGCGGAGGCGCTGCAGCCGGAGACTTGAAAGCAGCTCCTACATTCAGAGACTTGGACACGTACAAGGGTTTGGACCGTTTTGGAGTAGACTATGACCATACTGCAATGATAGCGCAGGAAATATGATTGAAACGAACACTCGAGTTTTTGCAGGTAGGCGACCGTTTCAGAAAGTTGACCACGGCGGCCATCAGCAGACTTTTGATCATCACTCCAAAAAGACCATCTTGCAGACAGTAGCAGTGCACCCTCCAATACCCGAATAAGCACGTCAAAGCCGAAACCCCTTCCAGCCTTCGCCTCTGACCAACGTCCGCCCCCGGCGCACGCTGCAAGCAGCACCTGGGGCGAGCCACACTGGCAACTTGCAATTGCAGCATGTTCTTTGACCCTCGATCGATAGTATGATGGCTCTTCTTACAATGTGGGTCTACAAGTAATGAGAGAGTAAACACCGGGTTCTTGCGTTGATTTGAGAGTCTGGTGCTGTCAAGACCAAGACAGAAGCCGCCTGACTCCTCGTGCAAAGATGCATCTCAACAAACGGCAGAACTGGCGTGCTGGCATGACCAAAAACAGACGAAGGCCCGACGAAGGCATGCACCTCAACGAGAAATGCTGAGAGCAAAGTATCCGAGCACAACAACTCCGAACCCTGAATCCTAATTCCGATTTCTTTACATCCGGCCCGGCCCTTCATTCAGGCATGCCAGGCACTCCGTAGGCAGCAGCATCTGCGGGACCGTTGGGCACCACCTCAGACTAGGTTCAGAAGTGGTGAGTTATGCAGCTTGGCAGTAGTCATTAGGAGCTTTGTTGCATGTAGCTTTACGGCCCCAGGCCTGCAGGATTTATGACCGCTGCTGGCATTGAACATGTGCTGGAGTGCCTTCATTTGCATTTATGTATATGTATATACACACATGCATATGTATAGATACATACATACATACATACATACATACTTACTTACTTACTTATGTACTTACTTACTTACTTACTTACTTACTTACTTACTTACCTACTTACTTACTTACTTACTTACTTACTTACTTACTTACTTACACACTTACATACTCACATACTTGCATACATGCAAACATACATACGTACATACATACACGCATACAAACATACATACATACATACGTACATACATACATACATACATACATACATACGTACATACATACATACGTACATACATACATACATACCTACCGACCTACCTACATACCTACCTACATACATACATACATACATACATACATACGTACATACATACAAACATATATACTTACTTACTTACTGACTTACTGACTTACTGACTTACTTGCTTACTTACTTATTAACTTATTAACTTATATACTTCCTTACTTCCTTACTTCCTTACTTACTTACTTACTTACTTACTTACTTACTTACTTTTAATTACTTACATACATACACTTACAGACATATACGACCACACACACATACCCATACATACACACATACATACATACATACATACATGCATACATACATACATACATACATACATACATGCATGCATGCATGCATGCATGCATGCATGCATGCATACGTACATAAACACATACATACACGCACGCAAACACACACACACACACACACACACACACACACGCAAACAAACAAAGACACACACACACACACTCCCTCTCTCTCTCTCTCTCTGTTCGCTGATTTTTTGATTGTTTATTGCGCGTGTATCTATGTAGTAGACACACACACACACCTTTGCATGTCAGGGCTTGTCAATGGGGCTTGTGAGCCCGGTCCAAGGCTTAAATAGGTATAGTTTCTGCGTTTAGTAAGCTGAGCTCAAGTATTTGTGGAGTCTCCTGTCCGAGGCCCAAAGACAAGTCAACTTCAAACAGCCGAGCGGCCAGAGGCGACAGTATCTCCACGGCCTTGCAACGATCGGTGGAGGCTCGTATCGAGTCTCAAGCAAGGACGCGCTACGTGCGCAGGGCTCCTGAGGGTCCTGAGATCTGTGAGTCATCTGGAACACCCTCATCAGCGCTAGCCTGCGACTACGACAGTGCTCATAATGAAATTTCTCAAACGAAGCCAGCGACCTCAACCGAGACCCTGAGTGCCAAGGCCTAACGTTGCCCTAGCTGGATCAGCCCAAATCATGTTCGAAGTGACGATTACGTCTTCCTGGAATTGAGCTCTAGTCTAGTCTGATGCAATGAAAAGCAACGGGCCCTCGGACAGTTTAAGTCAGTTCAAAAGCACAGCGGAAGTCTCGCAAGGCTCCAAAGCCTCGTGGCCACAGCCTACACCCGCATGGCATGATGTCCGCGGAAGCCACATCAAAGCCTTGACTTGTTAATGAAAGCCAACTTTTCCCAAATCCCATCTCGAGGGCCTTCCTCCACTCCTGAGAGCGCTGTAGGGCGTCTCCCGCAGAGCTGAGCAGAACCACACCGGGAGGCCCTTCAAGGCGGGTCCGCTCCGTGCTTGAATATTTTTTTGTATGTATATGTAGACGTCTCTTTCTCTACACACATATGCATTACTCAACTTGCACCTACGTACGTAGATGCATGCACACAAACTTAAGCCAAAAGAGGTTGCCCCAAACAAGATCTACCACTACACAATGAGGGAAACAGCAGCTCGAGATGCTCTGGGACATTAGCAGACGTAGTTGACGGCTCAGGAAGCGAGTGAAGCTTTCGAGGTTAGCTTAGCTGAGCTCGAGTCAAAATTCAAAAGTTCTGGACGTGGACCTACGAGAACTACCGAAAAATGGCATCATGCCATGAGCCCCGACCTGAGGCAGTCAGAGTTTGCAGTCCACTTCTGCAGTCGTAAGTCGTCGTCGAAGTAGTTGTAGTAGCAGAGCAGTAGTAGTAGTAGTAGTAGTAGTAGTAGTAGTAGTAGTAGTACTAGTACTACTATTACTATTACTATTACTACTACTACTGCTACTACTACTACTACTACTACTACTACTACTACTCCTACTCCTACTCCTGCTGCTACTGTTGCTGCTGCTGCTTCTGCTACCGCCACTGCCACTGCCACTGGGGCTGCTACTACTGCTGCAGCTGCTACTACTCCTGCTGCTACGGCTGCTGCTACTGCTCCTTCTGCTGCTGCTACTGCTCCTTCTGCTGCTGCTACTGCTCCCGCTCCTGCTCATGCTACTGCTCTGCTAACACACTGCTACCATCACCTGCAGAGGTGCCAGCACCACGGCTGCCGCCCGACCGCGTTCCAACGCTATTGCAATCGAAATGCTTCTGTGCTCTCAAACTCGAACTTCCCTGCTAATCCTCCCAGCTGCAGCCCTCAATGAATAAAGTTTAAAGGGTCATACCCTACCCCTTTTTAAAGGTACGTACTTGTTTATACAGCAGATCCTAACCATAAAACTAGGTACCTCAAAAAGGGGTGGGGTATGACCCTTTAGGTTGATAACCTTCCGTAGTGGATGTCGTGACTCGGGTGGCAAAGGACCTTGTGTCGAACGCCACTGCTGAAGCCGTGATAGGGCCGTGCGCCATGCCTGCACCTTGGCAAGGCGCAAACCCGCATCCAAAAACCGCGAAGCCCCGGGGTCATTCAACGGAGTGTGGCTATGGGCGAAGTTGCTGGGGCCGTCAATGCTGTAATTAATCTACTTGCGCAATTCGAATCAATGATCTTCAACACCTGCAACTGCAGGCTTGTACCTTTACCAATGCTGTCCTTCGTGCTACTGTGTTCAAAAATGCTCAGTGAGGATGAGCAACTCCGGTGTTCAAAACTAAGGAAAGCTTTGTTAACTCCTGATCGTTCGTAATTGTAGTGTCATTGCTGCTATAAATACGGTCAGTGCCGACGAGTATTGCCGTTATCGGGTGTTCGCTTCTGCTGCGTATGCCAATCGTCAACATGTCTTCATGTCATACAGCGCTTTTGGGCTTGCATTGCCTTTGCTTGCGTGTTGATGATGCTTAATTATGTGAGTTTACATGTTCCCGGCATTCTGGAAGTCGCATTCCTATTGTGGCTTTGAGTTTTGCAGGCAGCATAACGCCGGGAATAACATGAATTCATCATGAGAAATGGATAGTATGTTCGATAAGATCGCGCCGGGTATCGGTTGTTAACTCGTCCTGCCAGGTACTGAGTACTGCCTGCTATGCCAGACATGTAAGGCTCATGGCTGTTGCCTGTCTGCGTTGCTGCCGCAGACCAGGATGATTAATTCCTGTGCCGAGCTTCCTGTCGATGTGCTTCAGCCTGTTGCATATACCACTGTTCTTGCTTTTTCTGACAGAGACAGTTCGCATGAGGCGCAGTCGCAAGCGCTCGAAGGTATCGAGATCTGCAACGAAGCGACAATGTAACAAGCCTTCACATTATTCTGTAGCACGGAAGACTTGAATAAGGTTTCGCTACACATGCGCCAGCTACGGAACGGGTTCATGGGAACGGATTCATAGGATGTGCTTGTTTGCGGAACCGGAATGAAGCCCCAAAAACGTCGACACATCCAGAAATTGCAAACCGAAAGCTCTACATAACCCTTGCTTGAATGAGCCCCCCAGAGACGTCGACACAACCAGAAACCAAAAAACAGAAAGCTCTACACAACCCTTGCTTGAATGAGCACCTTGGCAGCAGCATCCGTGATGGCACCGAGGGCGACAGCCCCAGTTCCGGAACCCAGCAGGGCCTGAAACTGCAGCTTGGTGGTGTCAACTGTGCATCAACGACATCACCAGCATCATCATGTTCATCATCACTTCTCCTCACCCTCATTGTCATCATAACCACGTATCTTGTCCTTGTGCTTCTGGCTAAGTGTATATTGCCAGTACCAGAGAAAGACCAACCGCTGCAAGCAGTCGCTGTCGTGGCAGCAACCAACTACTGCCAGCAGGAGCTGCAGCGAAAGCATTGCCACCACAGGCACGATGATCCAAACAGCCGGCAGCAATGTACTACTACTATTGGGTCCGACTACTACTTGCTCCCCGGCCATAGACACTCCGAACCCGTTTGTGCCAGGCGTCCAAGGCTGTCGGCCACTGCCTCCCACGGCAAAGCGAAGCTGAGACGGCGCCGAGGGAAACCTGATTACCGAACATCGACACGGAAACGGGAAAAAGCAGTTCGCGGCTACACTGTAGGATCTCGGTGCACCGACGTCATCGTCTTTAACAGAAAGAGCTTTAGACCCCAGCCTAGAGGGTGCAAGTCGCGGGCTTGTGTCGTTCAGGTTTCAGACTCTGTGTGCCGGGGAACTACACAGGCTGGAACCACTCAGGCCTGAAACCCCTAGGCGAGACATCCTTCGACCTCATGGAAGCTAGGCTTTGCTTGAACATAACACAACACACCCTGAGCTAAAGGGCCTGTTCCAAACCCAGGGCTTTGCAGATGCTTTCGGCCGAAGTCCAAGATTCAACTCTATATTTGGTGCGGCCCTGGCACGCTGTCGTGCTGCAGGCGGCAGGCAGAAGCGCCTCAAGCAGACACTCTGCAACAGACACGCGCCCTCATGGCCTTGAAAAACCACGTTTTGTCCCCACAACAGGTGAAACGACAGACCATGCGTCACCTTGTTTGCTACCTCTGCTGTTCTGAAGATCAGACCTTTCGAAAGCCTGCGACAGTACTTTGAGTCCAAAAACCCGGTACCACTCCAGCTGCTACTTTTGAGTTCTGCGGATGGGCAGCGATGCAGGAGTTCGCCGGCGCACTGCCACGCATGTCTGCACGCATTGATCTGAGAGCAGATGACTCGTCGGAGAAGCAAGAATTATGCCTATGCATAACAGGCTCATGTAGCCGATAACGGGGTTGCATACGTGGCAGCCTATGGAAACTTGAACCCGTCGATGTGCGTGGCAAGCGGCACCTCTTTAGGAGGTCAGGGCTGTGAACTGACAGAATTTTGCCGAGAGCAGGGTTCCAGCTTGACGGCGCCATCCAATTTGCGAACATATATGACCGAACTGAGATGAACTGAAGATCATCAATAGCAGGGGTCCGCGGGTGACCGAACAGAGACTCTAAATGAGACTTGAATCCATATACAAAGTCTGCCTCAGCTCTAGAACCTAGAAAAAACCCTCATGAACCTCTGAGCATCCAACTGCAGCATTGCAGAGTCTGATGTTGACCTCCAGGCCTCGTGTCCTCGTTTTAGGGCAGTCATTGTCAATTATGGAGCTCTCTGAGTCTCTAGAAAGAAGGTCCACCAGCGCATGAGAAGCGTGGGGCTCCACCACCCTTTTGAATCCGGAGCCCCAGACTATGTGCGGTGAAAGAAGGATCGATCGAAAGCATAAGTGTAATCTACAGATGAGATCGCGGCTCTTGCCAAAATGGTCCTGACCACAATCAACAAGGGTCGTACGGTCTTGGATTTATCTTGCTTCAGTGCCCCCTTAATTTCAGACAATCCTCGTTTGGGCATTGCCTAGGGTTTCTGGGGCCCATTATACTATGCTTATAATAAGGAACCCCCAGAATAGTATAGGTAATTACGTAGCCTAGATTAGCAGCCTGAACCCTAGAACAACGAGGTCAAGAATCGGAGCATCCGCAAAGATCCGCGCGGCCGCTTGCCACGCCTAAGGTCTTCGATTCGATGATGGCGGGAGTCGATGTACTGAGCACACAGCGACAGGAGAATGAGGACATAGTGCATTTCATGGCGATTCACAGACGAGAAAACACATAGCGGCCTGAATTACAAACACAGCAGGGTATCAGGACATATCATTCTCTACTGGGCTTTGAAGTAACCAGGGTGAGAAACTCTATACTTGTTTCACGATGGTTCCTTAAGTAGGAGGTACCAGCAAAGCATTAAAGTATGGCACTCGAGAACCCAGTATATAGGCTTGAATGAAAGGCCAAGCTTTGAATCGCAGCGATAGAGCTAGGGTTTAGGGTTTAGGGTTTAGGGTTTAGGATTGAAATCGGACAGCAGCCCCAGACTCCGACAAAATCCTTGAGTCCTTCATCTCCCTAGACGCCAAGACCCGGTGGGACATGGAAGCTTAGCAAGCATCCCCTACTTAAAGGTTCTTGGGACTTAGTGACTACAGTGTGAAGAATTAAGTAACTATAACTAGAATTTCTTATAAACCCAATAAGATACACTAAGTCCCATGAACCTCCATGTAAGTCAAACAGCTGCAGAGCTCCTGCCCCCCTGAAGTGCGCTCAGGGCACCCTCCCTGCGCCCCAGGAGGCCAAGAGGTAGCCACAGCTTTTCGCAGTCGCCTCCGACTTGAATCCAGTTTAGGGTTTAGGATTTAGGGTTTAGGGTTTTAGGGTTCAGGGTTTAGGGTTTAGGTTAGGGTTTAGGTCAAGAAGGATCGTGGTTTCAGAGGGGGCCTTCAGGAGTCATTAATGACGCGTTTCGGGTTGAATGGGTAGGGCTTCCGGCAAGAGGAAGGGTCTGGACCGGCACCCCCACCTTTTTTTGCAAAGTTATTCAAACTGGAGGCCTCATCCTCGACGCTCCTGGTGGCACAGCCATAAATCCCGGAGCCCCGATCCCTGAACAGGTTCGTAGGGGGTACCGTGAAGGCGAAAGTCCTCAATGTCATAAGTCACAAGGCACAACAGTCAACAGCAAACTCAGCCCTTTTCTAGAAAAGGCAAGAGCCTGCAGAATGATTTTCGAAGTCTGGTAAGCCTGATGTAAGCCTGATTGAAGTTCAGGACACTACAGGAACCTCTTCAGTACTCTTGCATGCGGCGCCACGGCGCGATATCAAAGCCAGGTAAAAATCAATGCAAATGTTCTTTACAGCTTCTTGGGAACAGGAGACCCATGACCAAAATCAGGATATCTTGCACTCCGGAAAACGAATTAAAAACCAGGATGCCTGACTCCGAGAATACATTCCTTATTCCTTAGTCAATGGGAGAATTCATACTAATCAAAACAGGAATAGTAATTGTAGTAGTAATAGTAAACGGTAAGTTTAACAGTAGTTTTTAAGAATAAAGAATAAGAATATAAGTAAGAATGACAATCATAAAATAATACACATAGCAATGATACTACTAGGTAACAGTATAGTGGGAAGAGGCTTTCGTGGCTTGGAGGTTGCAGTCGAAGGGCCTGCTCATGGTGTTGGGCAGTGGCATGCACCAACCTCAGACTCGGATTAGGGTTCAGGGTTTAGGGTTTAGGGTTTAGGGTTTAGGGTTTAGGGTTTAGGGTTTAGGGTTTAGGGTTTAGGGTTTAGGGTTTAGGGTTTAGTTTAGGGCTTAGGGTATTTCGGTTCCGCAAACCCTGGGGGCTTAAACTAGCCCAAAGCTCATCCGAATGCTCCTGCTCATTCGTCTGCTTGTGTCTCTGCTCCCAGTCCTTGCTACATCTTCTAAGCGTTCCGATATCTCGTTTCCCTGCTGCTGCTTCAAGACTTCCAAGTTGGGTGATGCACTGACCTGCGACACTGCTGTGAGGCACACAAGCTTACGGTACAGTCACCTGGCCTGGTTTGGGAACGCGTCGGAACTGCCTCGAAGTCATAGGCTGCGTTGTCCGCTCATGTCGCTGTTGCCACGAGTTTAGCTGCCCTGGGCGTGTTGCCATTCGTACTATTTCCAGTGATGCCGCCTGGTTTCCTGCGTTTCTACGATTACGACAAACCTAAAACTCTGAAGCCCTAAACTGCTCAAAGTTAAGTTTAAACTCCAGGCAGTTGAAGGATGAAGGGCTCGCCTGATCTCCGGCTGTTGATAAAAGACCAAGCGAACCTGATAGCCGATGCTGAGCAACGCCGCGGTCCATGGTTGCTTCACCATGAGCCATGGCTTCTGCTACAAAGCGGTTAAGGGTTACACCTTTAAGCGGGTGTAAGGCTCGAAGCTTGAACCACGAGTCTTGACTCCCTTTTAGAGCCGTGACCTTGCAAAATCTTGCTTAGCTCACAACTGCTGCCAAGCTGGTTCATGGCGCTTCGCCTACTAACTACTACTAAGTTAAATTGACTATGTACTACTACTCACTTCTACTAACTACTGCTAAGTGCTACTGACTACTACTAACTATACTGCCACTGCCACCATCCTGTACAAGGTTCTTAGACTTGTTTCTTCCTGCTGTGGATGAGAACCTGTGCCCCTTGCTTGCGTAGCTTCTGCGTGGCTTTCGAGCCTGCGGCTGCGGAGCCTGAGAGGAAGGTAACACGTGCGATCAGAGGAGAAGGATGGTATCATGATCCCTGAACAAAAAACCCTAAACCCAAGCACGTACCATTGTCACAATCCTAGCCGGAACGAGAGTCATGCTCTCATCCTGAAAGCAACGGTGCTCATTTACGGTGGCAACATCACAAGCTATTCTCACACCCTCTCACACCTGC